GTCCCCAAGGCGTACCAGAAGGTCCCAGCTGAGCCAGGTTTTGGGTCTAGAGAGGCCCCGCCATGTCATTCGGACTTGGAAGGCAACTTACGGGATTTCTTGGAGCATCGGCTAGACGAGAACGGCATGGGGACTATGATATGGGGTCATACTCGCGAGATGGGAGTTACCATTCTGGAGGAGGTCTTCTTGGAATGGCGTAAACGTGCGCGGCAAGAACTCCTGCAGATTACACATGTGTCGAATCCCAAGGGGCTCCTCGGAGGGTCTCAGTTAGAGTTCAAAGACGTCTCGGTTAGAACCCTCTTGGCCACCAAGCAATACTCAAGTGCGTTCCCAGGCCGTGCCATACATTGGGTGGTCCTGCGTTTCAAGGAGTTGCGAGCCCTGTTCATCGGCCCAGAGCGCAGGGGGGACTACCGCCACGTCCTGCTGCGCCAGTGGGAAAGGCTACCAGTGCGAGGTGGCCCTTTCAGGCGCTACTGGAGGCAAGGCACTTCGTTATGGCATCCCTTTTTGGTGACCTGTGCTCAGCATTTACTGGCCAAGAGGTCGGCTGAGGAGCAGGTCAATTTCGTCGACGCCTGCCTGCCCTTTGTCACCGTCTTTCTTCGCATGGAGCAGCTGGAGGACAGGGGTAAGGCCAGAGCAGCATGGGAGGAATGGAGTAGAGATGCAGTCAGCAATGGTGGAAGGCGGGCTTATTCTTTTCTCCGCTCGGGAGTGCCACTTCGCGAGGAAGTTGAGGAGGAGGGCGGCGCGTTGTCCAGTTCTTTGCCAGTGCGCCTCCGCGCAGAGACCAAGTTGTGGAGTAAAGCCTGGGCAGCAGTAACCGATGCCAGTTCTGTTCAGCCCCCCCCTCGAGCTCCCTGCAGTATCAGCGCCAGTCCCAGGTCCAGTCCCTCCAGAACAACTGCAGCACATTGGGTCGCGGTTTGCAAAGTTTACTTGTTGCCCAGATGGGTTTCATCCTCGCCACTTTGGGTTGTTGAGTCTGGAATCCTTGAGAGTTGTATCTTGGATGTACCACCTAATGGACGTGGTAGGTCAGGCCCCGCCTTCTATGCAGCAGTTGGTTGTCTTCTTAATGGGCCGCCCTGACAAAGGGAGAAGGCCCATTGGCCACTACAATGCTTTCGAGAGGCTTCACGGAAAGACCCATCGGGATCCTTGTCGTCGTTGGGAATGTGATGTGGGGCTAGGACCGCAGTTCTCTATGGGGCAGGGCCGTAGTTGCCTTGACATCGTGTGGCGTCAAAGTGTACAAGCGGAACTAGCCTCTGGGACCAAATATCACTATGGGACGTTGCTTTGGGACCTCCTCCAGTTCTACGAGCACATAGGACATCAGGAGTTAGTGCATCAAGGGTTTTCGTGCCACTTCCCACTCCACGTTCTGATTTATACCATCTCCACCTATCGGTGGACCAGGTACCTGTTATTAGATGGAGCGTACTCGGAAGGAATCACTCCCACCCAGGGAATCGTTGCGGGTAGCACCTCAGCCATCTACGAGGCCAAAGCGTTTATGCTACCTTCCGTACAGAGGTCTACAGGTGTGCCCGACACAGGACTCGGGCTGCACATCGACGATCTCTCGTTTCACTCGTGGCACGAGAGCGAGCACGTCTGCGTGGCCAACCTCAAGGCGTTAGCCACGACCATGGCCTACTATATCTCCTCCACCCTCCGTGTCCCGCTCGCCGAGAGGAAAATGATGGTGACGGGAAACTCGTTGAGGTTCGTGAAGGACATCCGTGAGGCTCTGGGTCAACTAAGTGGCTCTAGGGCGCACGCCCCAGGGAATCTTGGAGTGGCGTTCTCTGCGGGCAAGCACCAACACACGCCTTTGGCTCGGGCTATTCGCAAGAAGAGGTTTCGGATTTTTCGGGCCCGTACGAAGCGTCTGGCATTCTTGAAGGTGTCTCGGCGTATTCGTGCCCGACTGTTCAAAAGTGGGTGCCTCAGTACTGTATCTTATGGGATGGAGGTTCAAGGGGTTGCGCCTACTGAGATTCTACATATGAGGAGGGCCTCTGCCAGGGCCTCAGGTATCAGTAAGAAGGGCTGCAACTTGGACCTCATGTGGGCTGTGCACAAGCATCGTGGGGGCCCCCTCTACCTTGCCTCAGGACCTCTCAAAAGGTACGCGTGGGAATGGTGGCACCCCAGTGAGCCCTCTAGCTTTGGACGACCTCGACGCAGTGACGCCCTGACTCCAGGCCAACTAAGTAGAGTGTTTCACAGTGCCGTCGCCACCGTCCAGACCACCCAGCGAAAGCCGTGGTTGTATAGGACGCGTGGCCCCATCTCTGCCATGCTGTTATGGTTGGAAGCTGGCGGTTGGTCTTGGGAGGGTCCTGCTACCTTCGTTTCTAGGTCTGGGTTCAAGTGGATCCTCACGGAAAGGCCACCTGCCCAAGTGGCGGACGCTTTCACCCGAGACCTCCAGGATGTGTATCTCAGGAGGTACCTTCTCAAGCACCTGCCGAGTACAGGTGAGCATGAGATTTCGTCCAGAGGGCCGCGGCTACCTGCCATCCAGAGAGTAGCAAAAGCCGTGGACGGAGGTCAGCGTCATGTTTTCTTTCAACTTTTAGCAGGATCGACGCCTACAGGAGCACCCTTGTCCAAGTGGGGCTATGAGGTGTCCGATCTCTGCCCGCACTGTGGCGATAGCGACACGGTGTGGCACAGGTGCTGGACTTGCGCGCACAGGCCAGCGGTAGTTGCTAGGAAAGAACATTTCTGCCAGGAGCTTATCGACCAGGCCATAGCTGCAGGGCCAGAGTCGTGTCTTTTCAGTCGTCTTTGGGCCCCCTTCCCCGACCTTCCTGAGCCCGCCCAGGACTGGGATTTGATGTTCTTCGAACGAGAAGGGGTGCGCTGTGAGCCATTCTGGTTTCAACCCGAGGACACCTTATTTACTGACGGGTCTTGCTTTCATGGGGGCATTCCCGAAATCGCCAGAGCTGGCTTTGCTGTAGTTCACATGGATGGGGAGAGACCTGTCAGAGGAATCTACGGACCCCTACCTAAGGAGTTTGCTCAGCAAGCGACTGAGGCTGAGCATGCAGGCTTAGTAGTTGCTATACTTAGGACGCAGCAAGAAGAGACCCAGCCAAAACCTATCTCTGTTGACTGTGCGGCGTTGGTGTCTGGGTCCAGGTCTCCTAGGAAGGTTTTGGAAGGGTCTTCCAGGCTGCGCTTCTTCTGGAGGGAGATCAGTAGGCACTGTAAAGGTTGGCCCTCCCTCACGAAGGTTAAGGCCCACCGCAGCATGGAGAGTGCTACCAGTTTTGAGGATGGGTGCACCATCTCTGGCTCGACTGCGGTGGATCATTGGGCCAAGCAAGGAGCCAGAATTCATTGTCTCAGTTCAGGGGAAGTTTCGGTTTTTGAAGAAGGGATGGCGGAATATGCCTCCGTTGCTGCAGGATTAGTCGCGATCCTGTCGGTGTGGCCCCCGTTTGAGTCAGCGTTCAGAGGTGCGAATCGGCCCGTGCGGGCCAAAGTGCCCATAGCACCCTCCAACCACCTCCCCGTCCCCCATGGAAAGGGTTATAGGTGCAAGAGGTGCTTGCGAGCCATCGCACCTGTGACCACCACCCAGTGCGCCAACCCCAACCCCACGCTTGTGTCTCTTCTGCGTGGGGGTGGTGGGGCTCGGCACAAGTTGCATTGGGCGCGGTTGGTGGAAACGGATGTGCCGTTGATTTTTTGCATTGCATGTGGAGGGATCGCGTGTGTACGTGCGGGGCCTAGACTCCTCAGTGATTGTGATCCCCCTGTGAGAAGTGCTGAAAGGAGCAAACTTCTCCGAGGACTGTATCCTGGGACTAACTACAGGCTGGGCCCTTCCCTGCCTTTGTCGTCCCTCCCGTTTTATCCTCTGTCGTCTGCCTCGTCCTCGTCTGGCCCCGTTCCTGGAGGTGACCCAGGCCTTGGTAGCCCTGGGCGGAGCGACTCTGCCAGCACAGCTGCCCAGAGTCTGACTCTGGTGCGGTCGCGGCTTTTGGGTGAAGAGGACGATGCGCCCCTGCTCCCACCCTTCGGAGGCAGGAGCCTATCCGACGACAGTGACTGATTGTGGTAGGGCGTCGGCCGATCATGGATTGACCAGGCGCGCCAAGGTCTGAGAGGTTTGAGAGGAGGAGGAGGAGGAGGAGGAGGAGGAGGAGGAGGAGGAGGAGGAGGAGGAGGAGGAGGAGGAGACGCGAGGGGGAGGATGAGAGGAGGAGGAAGGAGGGGGAGGACAGGAGGAGTGAGGAGGAGGAGGAGGAGGAGGAGTATGTAGTGAGGAGGAGGGATGGAGGGGAGGACATGAACAGGAGGAGTGTAGTGAGGATGGGAGGAGGGGCGAGTCAGACTCTCTGGCGATCGCAAGCAAAAGGCGTGTTGTCAATGGGGCTTGCGTTTGCAACGGTCCCCAGTCTCATCCTCAATCGCGGATCTGTCCTCCGCCAGTGAAGGAGGCGGCAACTCGTCCTTTGCGGGTCCGCACCGCGTTGGAGGGCACCTCCCCCGATCCATGGATTTGGCGACCGCGCGCAAGATCCATGGCTCGATTATCTTTGTTTGCGCGCCCCCTATCTCGGGCGCCGAAGACTTTGGCGAACATCGTGGACTGCAAGGCTTTGGGCCCGTCCTCCTCCGCCCTCCCTGACCAGAGATGGTCCCCGTCATGGCTCTTCCTTCCACCCACCATCCTCCCCATCCTCCGTCCGTCCTCCCCCCACGTGTGACCCTCCCCCCCTCCCCTCCATCCGTCCTTCCCTCCCCCTCCGTCCTCCCCTCCTCGGGGTGCTGCTTCTCGTCCCTCCCCCTTCTCCCCCCCGTCTCGTCAGACGTGGGGCATGCTCTTCTTCTAGCGCCCTGTGGCGCCCAAAGCAGCCGCAACTTTTCAATCGGGCTGCCCTGATCTGCTACGCTGAGGTGCTGCGTCGAGGAAACATCCCCTCCTGGTGGCCCTGGGCGCCCCTCCCCCTCCCCTGCCGGAGGCCAGCAAGGGGCGCAGCGGCTGGGTGCGCAGCTGCTCCGAGTTTCAGCTGAAGGTCCCGGCGGGCCGAGGAGGAGAAGGAAAAGTGAAAAGGGCGAGGGGGACGGGGAGGAGTAGGATGAGTCTATCGTGTGTGTGGGGGGGAGGGGGAGGAAGAGGAGAATGGGGAGGACACGCGCAGACCCAAGACGCATCAACGATGATGCAATAAGCCCTCCCAAGTTCCCCCTTCACATGCCGATCCAGGTCCATATCATTATTTATGTACTTTGCGGGAAGTCGTCCATTAGAAGACACGTTCGAGAATCCCCAGTCGTGCCACACAAAAACTGTTCCTGGGACTCCAACGCCGCGGATCAACGTGACTGTTGCGTCCTGACTGTCCTAAACAGTGCCAGAATACCATTCCTGGGACTTCAGCACCGCGAATGAACATGACTGTTGCGTTCTGACACTTCCTGGGACTTCAACCATGCGAACCCTTGCCACTGCAGCAGATTTTTAAGTCGTATGTGTACGGCGCTAGGGCGAGAGCTACATTTTGCAAAGGAAGCGCCCTGCATCCTTGAATTGGTTGCAAACTTTGATGGCGAATGTGCGTGGCGATGGCAACATTTTGAAAAGGACCTGTCCTCCATGTTTGAACTTGTTGCAAACTTGATGCGAATGTGCGCGGCGCTAAGGCGGAAACCACGTGCTGAAAAGGACCCGCCCTCCATCCGTCAAACTAGTTTGCAAATTTTTATGCGATTTCGCGCGGCTAAAATGCGTTGGCGGAAACACGTCGTACCTTACCGCGTGCATCCGCAGTGCACCGCGGACAGAACTAAGTCATGGTCCCGGCGACGGCGTGCGACCAGTCCACGCCCGAGTCTTGGAAGCGTGCCACAGAGCAGCACGGAGAGAGCTCCACCTGGTCCTCGGCCAGGGCCAGCAGCCGTTGAGAGATGGGCCCGCCTCTGCCGCTCCAGGGTGCCTCGGGAGTTCTCTCTAAGCCTGCGCGCCCGAGCGCGCGCAGCAGCTCGGGGTGGAAGCACCGCTCGGGGGGGGGGCACCAGAACTCTTTGGGGAGATCGTGTGGTCAGTGCTGCCTTCGGTGCGGGCAGCGCCCGGACCGCGGAGGCCCTGCGGGGCTGCGCGTGCCCGGGGTGGCGAGACCGGCTGCCGGCGCGGGGGGGCAGGCACTGCTGCGCCTCGGCAGCCTGCGCTGCGTTGGGGGCAACGCAGCAGAATTCGCTGCCTCAGCTGCGCGTCGCATCGCGCAGCTGCAAGAGGTGCCCGACTAAGTCGGGCGCCCCCCCCCCGGTTGCCTGTGGTCGCGCATGTCGCCCGAAAGTGCCTGTCAAAAGCACGGCCCGTGCTGGGGGAATTTGTAGGACAGCACGGGCAATCATATTCGGAAGTCTGAATTTTTTGTTTTCTCGACGGCGGTTCTGGGCGATGAGAGCCTTTTCGTTCAGCATCCCGACGCACTCCAAAGACATTGTCAGGACTGCGCCGATGAGCGCCCGTCAAAGGAGGAAATGTTGATATTCCCCGGCGACGATGCGGATCCCGGTGGGCTGCTGTGTACGCCAGCTGATTTATTCCGATGGGATGGATGGGAGACATGACTCCAAGATGCTGTCGAAGGTGGTATATGGATCTGCTGGTATCCGCGTGGGCTCAGACGAAACGGTCTTCGATCACACGACCAGAATGAGGGTTGGCGACCGCCCCAATTGGCCGAAGTTCTTGCGCTGTGGATGCCAAGGATGCACATCAAAGTGGTAGATGGCCTCGCCGACTTGATTATAGACAGAACTGCAGGAAAGCGCCGGTTCGGTTCGGTTCGGTTAGGTTCCGAAGCGCCTCCGGTTCGGTTCGGTTCGGTTCGGTCTCGTAATCTTTTTGTTCGGTTCGGTTCGGTTCGGTTCATTTATGTTTTGTTTCCGGTTCGGACCGGTTCATGTTCGGTTCGGTCCGGTTCCGGCCAAATCGCCGTCGAGGAACGTTCCAGTCGGTAGGCCCGAACGGGCTCCGAAGAACCGCCAAACCCCAAAAGAGACTTCAAAGGGGCCCCAAAGGGGCGCCAAACCCCAAAGGGGCCCCGAAGGTGTTCCGAAAGGCCCCAAACCCCAAAGGGGCCCCAAACCCCAACGGGGATCCGAAGGGGCCCCAAAGGGGCCCCGAAGGGGCTCCGAAGGGGCCCAAACCCCAAAGGGGCCCCAAACCTTAAAGGGGCCCCGAAGAGACGCCAAAGGGGCCCCAGACCCCAAAGGGGCGCCAAAGGAGCCCCACACCCCAAAGGGGCCACGAAGGGGCCCCAAAGGGTCTCCGAACCCCAAAGGGGCTCCAAACCCCAAAGGGTGTCCGAAGGGGCCCCAAATGGGCCCCAAACCCCAATGGGGCCCCAAACTTCAAAGTAGCTCCAAACCCCAAAGAGGCCCCAAACTTCAAAGGAGGTCCAAGGGGGCCCAAAGAGACCCCAAAGGGGCCCCAAAGGGGCTTCAAACCCCAAAGGGGGCCCAAAGGGACAGCAAAAGGGGTCCCAACCCCAAAGGGGGTCCGAAGGGGCCCCAAAGGAGGCTCCAAACTCCAAAGGGGCCCCAAAGGGGCCCCAAACTCCAAAGCGGCCCCAAGCCCCAAAGTGGCACCAAAGGGGCCCTAAAGGAGCCCCAACCCCAAAGGGGCTCCAAAGGGGCCCCAAAGGAGCGCTTAACCCCTAAGGGGCCACGAAGGGGCCCTAAAGGGGCCCCAAACCCCAAAGGAGGTCCGAAGGGGCCCCAAAGGGGCTCCCAAAGGAACCCCAAAAACCCCAAAGGGGCTTCAAATGAGCCCCAAACCCCAAAGGGATTCCAAAGGGGCCCCAAACTTCAAAGGGGCCCCAAAAGGGCCCCAAACCTTAAAGAGGTTCCCAAAGGGGCTCCAAAGGGCCCCAAACCCCGAAGGGGCCCCAACGCGGCTCCAAACCCCCCAAAGGGGCCCCAAAGGGGCCCTTGTCGAGGTGGCTGCAGCAGACTGCTGGTGGGTCGTTTCCGATTCGGTCCTGTTCGGTCCGGTTCGGTCCGGTTCGGCGGGGAGAGGTTCGGCCCGGTTCGGAGTCCTGGTTCGGTTCGTCGGTGTCGCAGTTTTCCGGTTCGGTTCGGTTCGGTTCCCATTGACAAACAACACTGGTTCGCGCCGGTTCGGTTCGGCCGGGTTCGGTTCGGCCGGTTCGGTTCGGTCCCGGAACCATCCTGGAATTGTTTTCTCGGAGCAATTGGTATGCAACGATATTGGGCCCGGACCCCGCCAACATCGTGATCCAGGGCGATGGTGGGTGGAGGTGAGAAACTTGCGCGGCAGCTTCGGTCATCATTGGAATTTTCGGGGGGGGGCACGTTTACTCAGCCCTCGCACGCAGAAGGGGTGTACATTCCAGTGGGCGTAGCGGTTCTTGTGGCCGATATGATTGCATGGGATGGGGCAACTCAGTGGGTAGCACATGAGTTAGTATAGTCCCAGCCTGCCTTGTAGGATCTCCAAGCTGTAGCGGGACGAACAATCAGATAACCAAATGTGCGCGGCGCGAAGGCGAGAGCCACATGTGGAAAAGGACCCGCCCTCCATCCGTGAAGCTGTCGCGTTTTGAACGGCGAGATAATCACAGTCGAATCGCACAGCCCGCGCCGACACGTATGGGGGAGTTACTCAAAAGAAAAGGTGCTGGAGGAGGAGGTGAAAGAGGAGAGCAAGGAAAAGGGCAAGGAAGAGAGCAAGGAGGAGGAAAAGGACCAGTGTAAACCTCAAATACGTCAACGATTTTGGAATAAACCCTCCTTCCAAGCCCCCTTTTTTTCATAGGCCCCTATAAGGATAACTGTCCACTGAGGGTAGGGCCCCGTTGGGGGACAACCGTTGGAAGATCCTGAAGCGTACCAAAATACCATTTTCGGAATTTCAAAACCACGAGCGATCTTCAATGTGGTTATTGCGTTTCGACGGTCCTGAACCGTGCCAGAACACCATTCCAGGGATTTCAACACCGCGAATCAACGTAACTGTTGCGCCCCAGCAATTTCGAATCCTTACAGAGCATACTTTCTTGTATGTTGACCATGGGAATCCAACGAATGTGCGCGGCGTCCACGCGATAACCACATTTTGAGAAGAAGCCGCCCTCACCCGCGAGACTCTTGCAAGTTTTTGGAGACGAGTGTGCGTGGCGCTAAGGAGAAAGCCACAGTTTGAAACCGGCCTGCCCTCAAGCCGTGGAGCTCTTGCAAATGTTCGAGGCGAGTGCGCGCGGCGCCCAGGCGAGAGTCACATTTTGAAATCCGCCCGCCCAAGCGAAAGGCCAGGTCCGCATTTTCGATCAGCCTCGGGGCGCGACAATATTATCCATAAGGAACAGAATGGAAAACGGGAGGAAGGATGAAGAGGAGGAGGAGGAGGAAAAGGAGGAGGAGGAGGAGCAACAGCAGCAGCAGCAGCAACAGCAGCAGCAACTGGATGGGGGGAGGGGGAGGAGGCGGAGGAGGAGGAGGAGGAGGAGGAGGAGGAGGAGGCGGAGGAGGAAAATTATGATGAGGGGGCTACAGCGCGCGCTGGGGGAGGAGGAAAAGACAGCACGGATGAGAAGGGGCAGGAGGAAAAGGAGGACGAAGAGGAGAAGGAGAGAGGAGGAGGAGGAGGAGTAGGGGGAGGAGGAGGAGGAGGGGAAGGAGGGGAGGAGGCGGGGGAGGCGGGGGAGGGGATGGGGCAGCGGAGGGGACGGGACGGGATGCGAGGTGGACGAGGAGGAGAGCAAGGGAGAGGAGGAAGAAGGGGATAGCAGGATAAGGAGGAGGAAGAAGAAGAGGAGGAGGAGGAAGATGAGCATGAGAGAGGGAGAAGGACGGTTATCACGATGACGAGAGGAAGTAACAGAAGGAGGAAGAGGTGGACGAGGACGGTGTGAGGGGGAGGATGACGATGATCTGGACGAGGAGGAGGAGGAGGATGTGGATCGTTCAAGGGCCTCTAGAGGTCTCTAGTATGAGACGTGAGGATAATGTGTCAAGGATATGTACAGGGCGTGGGGGTCAGGAGGAGGAGGAGGAAGACGAGGACGAGGAAGGAAAACAACAACGGGGAGAGTGGGGAATTCGAAGGAGGGGCAGGGGAGGAGGAGGAGGAGGAGGAGGAGGAGGACGACGAGGAGGGACAATGGGGAGGAGGGGTCGGAGGAGAACGATGGGGAGAGGGAGGAGGAGGAGGAGGAGGAGGAGGAGGAGGAGGAGGAGGAGGAGCAGTACTTAGGACGAGGAGGAGGATGATAAGGAATAAGAAGAGCAGGAGGGGAAGGAGAATGAAGATGAGGCGGCGAGGGGCGTTGTATGATCATGAGATGATGACGATGTCAGTGGTAAAGGAAGCGGATGGGAAAGCGGAAACATATGAGGAGGAAGAACAGGGGTTGCAAACATTCCAGGACTTTTAGCGTCCTAACAGGGATGGGTGATGACCATCAGGGGATGATGTTGTTTGTGGTGATGGTCGAGACAAGGGCGATCATTATGACGATTATGTTGACGATGGTGATGGTGATGATGCGGATATGGTGATTATGACGATATTGACGATGCTGATGACGACGATGATGATGTTGATGCTGATGTTGATTATGATGCTGATGCTGCTGATGATGACAATGATGAGGATGATGATGGTGATGACGATGATGATGACGATGATGATGCTGATGCTGATGATGATGCTGCTGCTGATGCTGATGCTGATGCTGCTGCTGCTGATGATGATGATGATGATGATGATGATGATGATGATGATGGTGGTGGTGGTGGTGGTGGTGGTGGTGGTAGTGGTGATGGTGGCGACAACGATGATGGTGGTGGTGATGATGGCGATGTTGACGCTGCTGCTGCTGATGATGATGACGGTGGTGGTGTTGATGATGAGACGATGAGTATGACAGCGGTTGGAGGTCCTTGGCAGGCACCGTGGCCACACAGAACCGTCTCAGGGCCGTGGCGGGATAAGAACTCAGAGATCGTTGAAACCACTCGGAAGCGGGTGGGGGGGAGCACACAGCCCAGGCCCCCTTCCCACCCCATTCCCTCTGAGTGGGAAAGGGATTAAAGGCAAGGGGCTTCGCTCCGACTCGATCACGGCGTTGCTCGATTTCTGGTGGGTTGACGCGCGTGGCGACGTCTCCAAAGTAGCCACGGGGAGGGGGTGAGAGCTTAAGATCCGCACTGGGGATTTGCCCTTCGCATTGGCATCGTTGTCCGCGCATCGTTATCACTGGGGCCAGGAGCATCCTGAAGCACGTCTCAACGAGCATCGTCACGAGGACAGGTCATCCAGCGTGTACGGTAGGCTCGTACCGCGTCGACGCGGCTCCGACCCCGCCGCGGGCGTTCAAGGTTGAACGCCGCCATTGGCCCAGAATTGGTCAGTACGTCTGTGGGGCGTTCCAAAGAGAGCCTCGCCGTCGACAACAGAAAGACATGCCATCCCTTCCGCGGCGGAAGGTCGGCGGAAGTACAACGAGGCCGCCTCCGCCGGCGGAGGCCGGCGGAAGATTAGCGGAAGGCGGCGGAAGCAAAAGATGCGCCGCTAAGAGACGAAAACGTTTTTGGGGTCAGGGTTTCCGGAATCCGCCATATGACGATTTTGTGATCGAAGAGCCGCCGACCGTCCCAGGCTTAACGATCCGCCCGATGCCAGATACCGACGCCGAACGTCGTCACGACGAGGGCCTGCAGCGCGTGCGCGCACGCACGCGTGCGCGCCAGCGGCGTTGTGCGGTTGCGAGCAGGCGCCACCGTGCGGCGGGCGGCCACCGCGCGGTGGAAGAGAGGCCCCCCCGAGCCGCGGGTCCTCCTCCTCCTCCTCCCTCCTCCTCCTCCTCCTCCTCCTCCTCCTCCTCCTCCTCCTCCTCCTTCTACCGCGCGCCCGCTCGGCGCCGCGTCGGCCAACGCCCCGAGTTGATGGCCCTGGCGCCTGGGTGGCGCTGCTGGCGGCAGCGACCGTGCCGAGGCTCGCGGCGGGCCCTGCGAGGCGCGAGCCACAGCAATTGGCGCAAGTCGGCACCGTTTGGAGTGCGCGCCAGTGGGCCCCGTCTGCGCCACCCCCCGCCGCCGCAGTCGTCGTCGTCGTCGCGCTGTGCCCGTGGTGCGCCTCATCGTTATTGCAGTCCTTTCGCGGACGCCGCCTCTCCTCCTCCACCCCCTCCTCCTCAACCTGCTCCTGCACCTCCTAATCTTTTTCCCACTCCCCCTCCCTCCGCCTCCGCATTCCTCCTCCTTATCCTCCTCCTCCTCCTCCTCGTCCTCCTCCTCCTCCTCCTCCTCCTCCTCCTCCTCCTCCCCCTCCTCATCCTCCTCCTCCCCTCCTGTCCCTCTTCGCCCTCTCCCTCCTCGTCCTCTCTTCTTGCTCCTTTCGGCCCTCGAGAAGGGCCTCGACCCTGGTCACACGTTGGCCAGGGAAATTCATTCCCATGTGTGACCTTGTGGAGCCGCGCGCAGCGCATCGTCTGATGTAACCTCTTTTCCTTGCTCCCCCTCCTCTCCCTCCAATTCCTCTTCCCCCCCGCGCTTCTCGATCGCCCCCCTCCCCCCGACGAAGGCGTACCGCCTGCGCAAGCGGCTGAAGCCGTTCATGGACGCCGTGAAGTGGACGATGTTGGGGCGCCGCGCCGCCCTGGGCGGGCACGCGTACCACTTCGGGGGAGGGGCCCGCGCCGTCGAAGAGTCTCAAATTTAAGTCGGGCGCGCCCTTCTACAGGAGGAATACTCAGACATAGTCAAAAAATAGTCAGGGGACGATTTTTGTTGATTATTTTTGAAATTGACTGCGTTTTGATTCTTCGAGATTGCGAAGGTCTTACGGCCAGTGCCGCCGACCCTGGAGGCCTCGGCCCGCGACGGAAATGGGAGGGAGAGGGCGGGCCATGGGCCCCGGGAGGGTGGCATTCTGACCCGGGCCCCCCGCCTCTCCGGGACCCCCCCCCTCCCCCCCACCTCTCCGCGGGGAAGGGATCAAAGGGAAGGGGCCTCCCTCCGAGCCAATGACAGCGTTGCTGAATGTCGCTGTGGATGGGCTGGTGTACTTCGCTTCGGGCTGGCGTGCTTGAGGACGAGGGCCCATGGAAAGTGAGGGAGCGGCGACGGACTAAGGAGGGGACGTGATGGCGGCGGCGACGCGGCGGCAGCGACGGCGATGGCGACGGAACAGCCCCTGTCACACGCCGACAGGGTCTGCGGTTTGTTCATCCAAGAGTCCGCTTGCACAGTCAACCGGCATAGTAAAGATTGGCAACCTTCCCCAGGGTACCCTTGCATCCTTGCCTCCTCGGTCCATCCTTCGCGTCTTTCGCTGGCCGCGCCCCGCGCGAAAAGCTTCGACGTGGGCGCCCGAGGCCCTCCGCATCCTCACCGCGCACCCTCGCTGTACCGGTGGACAGCAGGAGGACATGCCCGACCTACGTCTGAGGGCGCGCCTCGCGCCCGTCGGCGGAGGGCCGGCGGCCGGCAGGCTCTCGGGTGCTCCAGGTCTCGTCATAGTGTTAGAGGAGGACAGGGTTCAGGAGGGGAAGAAGCACACAGGCACAATGAATCGTCGATTCCCCCCAAAAAACTATGGGAAGTGGGGGGGAAGACGAAAACCCAGAAAATATAGGAAAATATGGGGAGTTCTGTTATTTGTGTGTATTTACTTGTGTGTCCTTGGGCCCCTTGAAAGGTACCCATACCGCTGCCTGGGAGGGTCTCGTCGCCACCGCTGGAGTCACGTCGAAGTCCTGGTCAGAAGGCCCCCCCCCGGGCGAGGTCCGGGGGGGGGGGTGGCCTCGGCACCTTTTGGTTCCCCCAGTAACGGGGAGGGATCACAAAACCCTCCCAGACGAGCAGTCGTAGACCCCTGCCCCGGGCCAGCCACGGAAGGGCGGCCTTTTGCCCAGACCCCGCGTGGAACCTTCCGACAGCTCCCATCGGGCCCGCCCCAAAAGATCAAGCCCCCCCCATTTTGACTGTGGGATCTGGGCTTCGATGCGGTCAACGCGCATACTATACAGGCAAGACGCGGAAAAAGGACCACCAAGGGCTCAGGAGGGGCTCAGATTTTCGCGCCGTTCCTTAAGATTCATGTCGTGGGACCTGTTTGTGGCCTAGGCCCGCCGTGGCCAGTAAAGCCCATTCGCTCCTTATTCTGCATTCCGCCTGGTAGCACGATGACTGCAGTAATGGAAAGAAACGATAAAAAAACGCCTCCCCCCCACCCCCCCGGACCCCCCAAAATGATTGAGTGGGGCGGACTAATAGAATTCAGCCGCCGGAAACTGTTTTTTAAATCGTCCGCCCACCAGCGTTTGCTTTTGCCCCGTTGGGGGAACTGATTTACTATTAGTTCTCCTTTGCTCGCTTGATCACCCGCGGCCGCGGGGGGAGGATTGCGGAGGGGGGACGGGGTAATTAGGGAAGGGATTTTCGAAGAGGCGCTTGATCACCCTCGTCCTTGCGGACGGCCGCCGGTCGTCCTTGCGGACGGCCGCGGCGATTGGGAGGTGGGGGATGACGAGGAGGAGGAGGAGGAGGAGGAGGAGGAGGAGGAGGAGGAGGAGGAGGAGGAAGAGGAGGAGGGGGGAGGACAGGCTAGGTGCGCTCGTGTCATATTTGACAGCCTACCCATCTCTCCCATCCCTTACCATGCCCCCCCTGCCCCCCCGTGCCCCCCCCCCCTGGCCTTCCAGGCAACCCGGAATTGTCAGCCCCCCGTCTGCCTGCCCTGCCCCCCCGCTATTGCGGGGGCGAGGAGGCCCGCGAAACAATTTTTTAAATCGTCCGCCCCCAAAAGTTGTTTTAATCGTTTCCTTCCATTAAGGATAGGCACCTTCCCAAGGTTACCCTTGCATCCGTGTCCCTTCGGACCATGCTTGGCAACTGTCGCTGGCCATTCCGTGCGAAAAACGTCAACATGTCCTTCCAAGGCCTTTGCATCCTCACCGCGCATCCTCACCTGGCATTTTAAGTGTAGAG